TGGGCAGTATTGCCGACGTTTCGGATGTACCGCTGCCTCCATCTCCACGGTCGAGGTATGCAGGTTGGTTCCGCCTTAAAGTTGGGGACATGCTATACCTCTGAAACATCGGCAGTGTTGCCTACTACCACACGGTGTAACAACCTAACGTCAATAATTAACCGCCATGAAAGTCTAAAAAGTGCAAGGAAAAATCTTGAATGTTAAGACTACACTGAAATATGATAAGTATTTATTTTTATTAACGTACGCTGTTACAACACGAATTTGAAGCACACATTCAATAATTCATACATGTGAAACACAAAGTGCTGAGTACCATTTCCACATCAAGTGACGTAGAAGCAGGAATCTGTGAGGGCTGACTATAAACACAGGCTCTTTAGGGCGGCTGTTGTACCTGCATTATTGTCTGGAAAGTGGAGGCAGTAGTTCTATAATTGTCACTTGAAGATACTACTTAGGGTGTTTTATAATGAATTGTAGTTACGACCTGTAAGTAGGGGCACGCGGTAGCGTAGTTGGTTAAGGCACTATGCTACAAGCCGGAAGGTCGCGGGTTCAAGTCCCGATGAGGTCATTGGATTTTTTCAATTGACCTAATCCTTCCAGCCGCACTATGGCCTTGGGGTAGACTCAGCCTCTAACAGAAATGAGTAAAAAATTGTAAAGTAGAGGTATCCCTGTAAGAGGCCGTGAAGGCTCATAGGGTTGTGAGACGTTGAGGGTCCCACATTATCTAGACAATCGGCTTAAAAGATGGAGGTAATGTTGTCAGCCTTACGCGCCGGCCGCGCTTTACTCCCCAGGAAAATTATTTAATTAATTCCTGGTACTCATTTCTGTTAGAGGCTGAGTCGACNAACGGGAACTTTACGTGAGGACGCCTATGCGTATCTCGAACATAACTCAGCTGGTGTTAGCGAAGAATATTTCGAACGAAACTTGTAGAAGAAAGTGAAGCAAATTTTATGTCCAATAGAGGTTTCTACCGAGTTTTACGATTTCCAAGATAATTAAACAGGAATTATTACTTATGTATTTTCTAACTTATTTATTCAGAAGTCAGTAATAGTTTTGCGAACGCGTGGAGGTTATCATGAACCCAACTGCTTCGGTTTCAGCAGGGAATCGTAATTACAATAAAACAAAAGAAAATCTTGATAATCCTGATCATCATCTCACAACCCTATGGGCCTCCACGGCCTGTTACAGGGATAGCTTTACCCATTTTATTCTTTACTTTTTACGACCTGTAAGTGGTCAATAAATGCAATTAGTCACTGACACACGTGACAATATTGTGACATGTTGCGCAATGGAGGACATCCCCTCCCTCCCCAGCAGTAACGTGGCAGCTCTGGCCACGGTGACGTGGCGGGTGAGTCAGCGCTCCTTCCTCCCCCCCCCCTCCGTTACAATATGTTAAAATCAGGACAGCTCTGATGGAGGAATCACAGAAAGCAACAACAGTAAGAAGTCAGAATTGTAGTATTTAATTGTTCGGCTCATGTAGCACGAATGGGGGAGAAGAGAAATGCATATAGGATATTGATGGGATAGCCAGAAGGAAAGAGGCCACTGGGAAGACCAAAGCGTAGGTGGGTGGACAATATTAAAATTGATCTTTTATTGTATTGTATGTATGAAGGGGTAGGCCTACTTAGGCCTTACACTTAGACCTCAGTGGTCCATTGTGCTTCCCCTTTTTAATTATTCCCTCAGCAACCCCACGCTTCGGATGAAGCGCAGGATTTTGGACGTGGGAGCGTCGAAATTGTCACTTGGTTCCATAAAATACTGACCCAAGTGACGTAGTCTTAAAGAAGCTAAAGCCTCACATTCACACAGGACGTGTGTGGCTGTTTCATTTTCTATCTGACACCTCTCACAAGTGGGACTATCACTTAGTCCCAGTTTGAACAGGTGTCCTTTGAGGTGACAGTGTCCTGTAAGTAGTCCTACCACCCATCGTAGCTGGTTCCTGTTGAGCTTCAACAGTTCCTTCGCTCTTTTATCAGAAGGTCCTCGTATGAGTCCCTTAGCTTGCCTGAGTCCAGTTAAGGATTCCCAGTATTTCTTATGTTTTATGTTAGTCCAGTCCCTGATTGCCTGTTTGGCAACTTCAAGAGAGATGCCACAGGCTGGTTCAGGTCCTATGAATGGATGTTCAGCTCCAATTTTAGCTAATTGGTCTGCTGCTTCATTTCCAGCAATACACTCATGCCCCAGCACCCATATCAGTTGTACCCTGTTATGTTTGGCCAGTTTCATGAGGGTTTGGTGGCAATCCCAGACCAATTTTGAATTGATCTGGTGTTTTTCAAGTGCTTTGAGTGCTGCTTGGCTGTCAGATAGAATGTAGATGTTCCTATTTCTATAGTTCCTATCTAAATTCTCCATAATACATGCTTTAATGGCATATACTTCTGCCTGGAATACTGTCGTGTACCACCCAAGGCTGAAACTAAGTTTCCGCCTCATACCATGGCAGTACACACCAGCTCCAGTGCCTCTATGTGTCTTGGAACCATCTGTATACCAGATCAGTCCCCCTTTTCTATCGGGCCGAAACCCGTCTTCCCATTCACTCCTGTCAGGAAATCTGACTGTGAAGGGTTTTTCATATACATGTCTCAGTATCATTTTGTCAGACTCCATTTGTAATATGTGTTCTGTTTTCATGTCCTCAGTCATGTCTGCATGGCCGAAACCATCAGATCTAGGTTTCCATTGTCCACAGCACTGGAGACGGTAAACTCCTGCCCTGGCCTCTGCATCCAACTGCATATGCAGTGGGGGGAGTCCAAGGAGTATCTCCAGTGCAGCTGTTGGAGATGTTCGAAATGCTCCTGTAATACCTAAGCAAGCCAACCTTTGCAGTTTGCCAAGTTCTGTCTTGCTTGTCTTGAATTTAACTCTGGGCCACCATACTGTGACACCATAAGTAATTATAGGTCTCACAACTGCAGTGTATATCCAGTGTACAACGTGTGGCTGCAGTCCCCAAGTTTTACCAAACATGCCCCTGCATGTCCAAAATGCCTTATAGGCTTTGTTAATGACTTTGTCCAGCTGCTTTTTCCATGTCAGTCCCTTGTCTAATATTAGACCAAGGTACTTGACATTGCTGGAGACCTGGATTGTCTTATTGAAGAGAATCGGTTCCTTAAGACCCTTTACATTTCTCTTCCTAGTAAACTGTATGATTACCGTCTTGTTGGGATTGATTGAGAGACCTGTTCTTTCACACCATCGTTGAACCATGTATAGAGCTGACTGAAGACGCTCTGATACGGTCGAAAGGAATTTTCCATTTATGAGGATTGCTATGTCATCAGCATATCCTACTGTATAATACCCATCATCAGTAAGTCCCCACAGGAGATCATCGATGACCAGGCCCCACAGCAGAGGCAAAAGTACGCCCCCCTGCAGACATCCCCTAGACGCGGACACCCCCAGGGTCTCTCCCGATAATGTAGCAGCTATGATTCTGCTTTCCAGCATAACATTGATCCATCTGCATATTGCAAGCTCTATGCCATGCCTTCCAGCAGCTTGTTTGATTACATCAAATGAGGTTCTATCAAAGGCTCCCTCTATATCAAGGAATGTTCCCAAGGCAATATCCTTGTGTTCAATTGCACTTTCTATGCATGTTACCACATTTTGTAGTGCACTTTCAGTAGATTTACCTGTTCGGTAGGCATGTTGGTTTTGGTGTAGAGGACATGTCCTCAGTACCCCATCCGTAATATGCCTATCCACTAGTTTCTCCATCGTTTTCAAAAGGAAAGATGACAGGCTGATAGGACGATAAGCCTTAGCCTCGGTATAATCAAGTTTCCCGGGCTTTGGAATGAACGTCACCTTAACCTGCCTCCGGGCTGTGGGGATAAAACCATATGACAAGCAGGCTCTATATATGCTACATTGGTGTGGAACTAGAAGTTCTGCCCCATGTTGCAAAAGTGCCAGTACAATTCCATCCGTTCCCGCTGATTTAAATGGTCTGAAAGTGTTCAGTGCCCATCATATTTTTGATTGATTAATTATGACTTTGGCCAGGTCCCAGTCTACCCTGTCCATCTTGCTTTGGCAAGTGTCCAGGTTCTGCTGACTCTGTCCGTTGTCCAATTTGTCAGTCAATTTTGAATCAGGAAAGTGAACTCTGAATAATTAATTCAGCGTCTCCCTTCCTGTTTGAGTATACTATCCATTAGGCAGCTTAATTGTGCTGACCTTATTGGTCGCCTGTTTTGCCATGATTCTCATGAGTCTGGCACTGCCTGGTACATCATTGATCTCCTGGCAGTACCTCCTCCATGAGGATTGCTTGACTTTCCTTATTTCTTTCTTGTAACAGGTCAGGGCTTCCTTATAGGTGTCCCACTGCCCTGTTCTTTTAGCTGTAAAATTGATCTTAGAAAGATAGGATGGGATGGTATGGATGGGATTGATCTGGCTCAGGATAGGGACCAGTGGAGGGCTCTTGTGAGCACGGTAATGAACCCTTGGGTTCCATAAAATACTGGGAAAATTGTTCGGCATAAATTTTATACATATTTGCTTAAGGCAAACAGCTCAACACTCAGCAATATGTATATGAATACTAATAGAATCAGTGTATTTTGGCCTTACTTTAGCGACAAAGGTAGCAGAAATAACTAAGTGTATTTGATATATTCTCTCTTTAGCTGACCGCTCACCGTGGTGTATATCCCATTCTACGGACACGGTTGCTTGCACAAATATACGAAGTGTCATGTAATAACAGTGAGAGTTAAAGCTGTATCGTGTTTTAAAATAAAGCTCAGGGCCTCTTTAGCCTTAGGGAAATAGCCCCAGGCATCCACTGGACAGCAGAATCATTCTGAATGCATGGTGAAGAGAACATGTTTTCAAACACTTGTTATAGAAACAATTGTGTGAGCAGAGAAAACTGTGCAGTGCAGTGGCCAGTTTCCTTGAAAGTTTTCCCACATTGCCTGTTGCAGCCATGTGTCGGCAGCTAGAACAAATGAAGAAGGAACGCCTTAAGAACTCCGGGTCGTCAGCCAATATGAAGAGCGTGGGGGTAGGACGTGGCACCGGGGACTTTGAGAACCACCAACAGCAGCATCAGCAGCCATCGCACCACCAGCAGCAGCATGAGAGTTATGAGTGTGTAGCACTGCATATCAGTCCTGACCTGGGGGAGCGCATCATGCTGTCCGGGGAGCGAGCCCTGCTCGACGAAGTGTTCCCAGAGACGAACCAGGCACTTCTGGATGCCCGATCCAGTGTTGCCTGGAACCAGCATGATGCCAGACATGTGATTAGGTTCCCTCTGAATGGCTACTGTAAACTGAACAGCGTACAGGCCATCACAAGGTTGCTGAACGCTGGGTTCCGGGTGGCTGCCAGTAATGGGGGAGGCGTTGAAGGCCAACAATTCTCGGAGTACCTGTTTGTCCGCAAAGTGTTCCCGGTGTGACCACTATGCTTACTTCTTATCGTGAGCGGCAGTCCTAATGGATGGAACATCCTATCTTCCAGTTTGTGCCATATGATCATTATTGAATGTTTCGATTATACGGACTTGGCAATCACATGCTATACTGGCTCCTTAACAAGCCTGTCAAACTCTTCTGGACCAATTTTATAAATTGACCTTGTGATCCTGACCCATCCTCAGAGGAAGGTTTGCTAGAGTATATATAATGACATAATTACTTGTAGCGCTTAACTGTTAATAATTTATGTTGAATTAATTATGCATATAATTTAGCGTTTAAAATAAATTAATTAATTATTCCCAATAATAAATGTGGGCGAGAGCTCTGCAGCCCACAAATAATATTTTGATTTTTTGTACTGAAATTATATTTAAAAAAATGATGGCGAGAAATATCGTAAATTTCCATGGCTTTTTTAAAAAGGTTAGGTTTTGCTGCTGTAGGTTTGACAAGCCTGTGTTGAAAGAGTGACCGAAGTTACAGCTTTAATGGTCATATTTTCTCTAGCAGTGAATTTAAACCACAAGGCTAGTTCACAATGCATCTTAATCAGCGTCTCTGCCATCCTGTATTTAGGTCACATGATGTTTGGTTTCGGTGTTTCAAGGGGGTGTAGCGGGGTGTCTTAAAGCACATGATTAAGAGAAGAACTTCCGTTTCATTCCATTGTGTCGTAATGGGGAAGGTCACGATAGCAAGTACATTCAATTGGGTCTCATTCTAAGATATCTATTATTTCCCTCATTCACAGGAAATCTGTTAAGGGACTACAGGCCTATGACCTACAGTTTTCTTTATTTCTGTGTTCAAGTTTCACTTTTCAGTTGTACCTCACTTTCAATGATGGAATCATTATACAGAAACTCTTGAGTTTGGCGATTCTGTTTGACTGGTTTGCTAACATATATGCTTTTGTGCAGACGAACTGCTGTTCCTTCCCGTATTCACAGGATCCCTCCACTGTTCCCTATCATGAGCCAGATCAATCCAGTCCATACCACCCCATCCTATTTCTCTAAGACCCATTTTAATACTATCCTCTGACCTACATTAGGTCTTCTTTGTGGTCTCTTTCCTTCTGGCTTTCCAACCAAAACCCTATATGCATTCCTCCTTATGTACAGATCCACCCTTAATATATTAGCATATCATGCATTCAGTTCTGAGCATTTATTGCAGCGCCAGTTCTACAGGCCTTGATTTTCTGCACTTGAAATTTGTATGTATATTTATGATCCATCTCCATATAAAATTTCACATGTCTAGTTTAAGTGGTTTGTTAGTTGCCAAAGCTAAATATATTACAGATTTTATGCAGTGAAAGTGAGTTTTAAAAGAATTGCTAATTTTACACAACATATATGGAATTAGATGGTTTATTGCTGCACTATTTCCAGTAACCATCAGCCACTGCCTGAAGTGCATTGTAAACCAGCCAGAATTGAAATTCAGGCAATACTATTTATTAGTCTTTAGGATCTAAAGAAAGTTATATTTCACATTAGCAACTTTCATTAGGACTGGGGCTGTAAAGAATGATGCAGAAGTGTTTGCTTGTCTGTCTTTGGAATATTTATTTTTCAAATGACAGATACAAGTTCATCCCCTTACATCGAAGTATAGAAGAGTTTTTGAGTCTGAATGTGTATGAGGAAATTTCTGTTTGTAACTTAAGTGGATGCAAAAGTAGGTCTTGTGAGTAACATATAATTGTACTTGTGTAAGTGGACTACACTTATCTTTCGTTATAACCACAGGTTTCTTCTTAGGTTCTTAGTTGAGTATGTCTTCCCTTCAGAGGTAAATTTCTTTTTTCCATCCTCCTGCATTTCAAAGTGCCATGATGCAGTTGTTATCACAGCATCAGTATAGGTAGTCTGGTCAGTTATAGATACAGACAATGTCTGCACCTCTCAGAAATCATACAGACACAATATGTGATGTATATATTGTTGCACTGAAATTTATTGAGCATTTATAATGACACAGTGGACACAAATAGAAGAAACAACACTGCAGTGACCCTTAAAAGTTTTTGCCCAAATTTGAAGGGTACTCAGTCCATAGAAATATCTATGTAAATCATCATGCGGATAATTTTACAAAATTTTGATCTCATAAGCAGGGTTTACCCAAAATGGGCTGTGAACTCTTAAGTTTACGGACTGAGATAATACGTGTGCTGGGAATACGAACTCATTTGTCTGAATGTGCAAGTATGGAGTTTGTTGAATCGGTGGAATGTGTGAATTGGACAAACTTTGAGAATATATTTCCAACAAAGAAATAAATAATAAATAAACTGTTCTAAATGGAATTGGACATCCTTATCTTTTCAACTTTTAAATATCATCTTTGTGTAAAATTTTCAGAATTATTAGATGATTTGTTTTCATTAAATACTATATATAAAAAAAGAGTTCCAATATGTACTGGACTTACACTATTAAACCTTTGAAAGAATTAACCAATTTTTATGTTTATATCTTGTTTTACAGAAATTATGCTCACAGTTCCATGTACTCCTGGTTTATTCAAATCTGAGCATACAGTTCTGATAGATAATAAAGCAGAGTTAAATTTGGAACATAAGGACTGTATTATTATATCTAATGGCCCCAGAGTGTTAGGTCTTTTTTAATAATTTCCATAAATGCATCGAGAAAGAAAATGTTCTCTTCTGTATCTCAGGAGAGTGTGGAGTCCAGATTCATCAAACAATAGAGAATGGCCTTATATTCAGGGGAACCTATTTGAATTTTGCCATTCGGTAGTGTTTGCGTGTGTTATTGTTAGTGTTAATGTTATTCTCTTCCCATTACCCGCAGAAGATTCTTGAGATAGTGCTTACTGTAGCTTCATGCTTTGAATGCCTCCAGTGTAAAAAGAAGCAACCCCAGGGAACCCAGAAATACCTTTTGGTGGTAAGAATCCTTGTCTGGTTCATATTTTAATTTTTTATGCTTCTTGAATCTCTGGATAGATAAATTCACATTTTAGAATGGTGTTCAACACAGGGTAAGTAGTTTCATATTCTAGCCTCTGGCCTTCACTAACCGTGTACTAACTTAACTACCACGCCTATAATTATAGTATAATGACTGACAGACTGTTCCTTCAGCAGTTGACAATTGCTGTGCTATGCATAAAATTCTCAGCTTTTAGTGAACCTAAAGATTCCTTGCCTGGTCCTTGTACTGGGTCAGTTCATTTGAATTTACATCTTCACACTCCGTTTCTTTAAGATTCATTTTAGTATTATCCTCCCAAACACTTGTTTGTTGAGATTTCCACACCTACGTAGGTCATACCGAAATTCATGAGCAACTTCTTTTTGCATGTAACCTGGGAACAGCAGATGAAAGAGAGTATGGTGGTAGGTGGAAGCAGCTGTTGTGTTATCCTTAAGTGTCTTGTGACGTCAATAACTTGCATCACATGACCAGTATCACTCCTAGCAGAATGGCCGACGATATGTCGTTTCGCCAGCGTGCTGTCATCGAATTTCTTGTGAAAGAGGAAATCCCTGCTGCAGAAATTCACCAGAGACTTCAGCGTGCTTATGGAAGTGTGTGCATGGGTGCGAGCAGTGTTCGAAGGTGGGTGAAACATTTTAAAGATGTGAACACCAGCATCGAAGATGAGCCTCGGAATGTTTGTCCTTGAACAGCCTCAACTGCATGCAACAACGAAAGAGTCGATGAGATCATTCAAGACTGTGACTGTGGACACAATAGCCCGAAAACTTGGAATAGGGCACAGTGCAGTACAGGAGATGATTGAAAGCTTGGGCTATAGGAAAGCTTATGCTCGTTGGGTCTCGCGGTTATTGACCGGAGACCACAAAGGTCAGCGAAAAGCCATCACCTCAGAACTGCCGCAGAGATATCGACACGAAGGCGATGATTTTTTGCTCTGACGAAAGCTGGTCTCGCCATTTCGAGTCTGAAACAAACGGCAAAGTATGGAATGGCACCATTTGCATTCTCCATCAAAAAAGAAGGCAAAGACAGTGCCATCAGCTGCGAAGGTGATGGGCACAGTCTTCTGGGATGCAGAGGGGTTTATTCTGGCCGAATTCCTGGAACCTGGGCAAACCGTCGATGCTGCTCGTTATGTCCAGACGCTGCACAAGCTCCATCGTGCATTGCGCGATAAACGTCCGGGACGAAACATCGTCATCCTGCATGACAACGCTCGCCCCCACGCAGCTCGCCTTACATTGGAAGCAATTGCAAAGATGGGGTGGGAAGTTCTTCCACACCCCTCCCATAGCCCCGATCTGTCACCCTCGGACTACCATCTTCTCGGATTTGTGAAGGATCAGCTGTGTGGACAACGTTTTGAGACAAGGGAGGCAATTCAGAAAGCAGTGCGTCAGTGTCTTCAGATGGCTGGAACGGAATTTTACAGAAGGGGAATTTTCAAACTCCCAGAACGCTGGGAGAAATGTGTACAAAGAAGTGGCGATTATGTGGAAAAATAAAGAAGGGTCTGTAGATTGAGTTGGTGTATTTGATTTGTCAATAATAAAGCATGTTACTTTACAAAAAAATGTTGCTCATGACTTTCAGCACGACCGTCGTATTTTGTGCCGTTTATTGCTTGATTTTGAATTACATAATGTTTGCTGAAATTCACAATGAGTGAAATGGGGAGTTGATGATGAAAAGTGAGAAGATAAGAATTAAGAAGGGCCCTTTCGTGGTCTGTTATAAGGTGGCATATGGGAATCACGGGATAGGAAGAGAAGACCACGAAAGCTTGAAGTTTGGCTTTGATATGTACTAACATGGTAGCTGCCTAATATAAGTCTAGCCAGTTGCTATTAAATCATCCTTCTGTGCAACTTCTGCATATAATTGTAATTTTCTTCGTGTGCTACATGGTCTACCCATCTCACCCATCATTCCAGTAATTTAACAGTATTACACAAGCAATACAAACAAAGCTACTCAACTGTAATTTTCTTCAGTCTTTGCTGTATCTCTCATCTATATAAGCAGTTTCTTCAGCACATTCCATTTTGTGACGCTATTTTCTGTTCCTTCCTCGAGCAGAAATGGTAGGAGAGGAAAGCCTAAAGCCCTGAGCCATTCTGAAAACTGTGTGAAGAACCTTCATCTGATGGCACCCACTTCATACCCTAGCTGCTGTCATGTATTCCAGGGAGAGAATTGAAATACCACATATTCTTCTTGACATGTCGTAATTTTAACACTTTATTCCAGTTCCTACTTTAAGTGATTTTTGTAAATTCATTGTTATCTTTTCGATTCATTACAGCGCCTGCTGCAAACAGTTTTACCTGCTAGTTATACAGGTGTAAAACTGGGTGCCCCACATTGAGGAAAGTACAGAAGTTGAGGACAAGTGAAAACGTGGGGCTGAGGAAGTAACAAAACGGGAAGCTTCATAATTGCTGCCAATTCCAGATTCTGTTAAGATGATTAACTCAAGACAAGATGGAGAGGACATGTATCACGTGTGCAGACAAATGAGAAATTTAGAAAATTTAGTCATACTTCACTATTTATGCTCCTGATATTATTATTATTATACTTTATTAGTAATAAACGTTTTAATAAATGATAAACAGTTGATTGTAAGTTAATAAAAAGGTCTGTAGATGTAATGTGGGTAAGTAATCATCTTATAAGGTTTCAGGTTTTCACGGCGGTGACTATGAAGAATGTCGTCTTCTGGGATGTGACGCCGTGTAGATATTGTGAACCGACGTTCTTCCGAAACGTCGGTGCACACAAGATCTACACGGCGCCACATCCAAGAAGATGACATGATTCAAGTAATCATGTAATTTGTTATCTTAATTTAAATATTTCCAGTGAAAGATTTTATATTAACTTAGTCGCTTTTAGTCCACAAGCGAACTATACTGACCGAGCGGCCGCCTATTGTTAGCAAAGTTAGTACCAACTTTTGCGGATAGAGGGTGTCGCGTGGTCAGCGCATTATTAAATGTTATGAATTTGTGACTTACAGTATTTTATATTAGGTTATACAGAATATGTAAATAGATGGGTTCCTTAAATTGTTCAGACGACAAGGGCATATGCACCCAGAATTTCAGTGGGAAGCCCCTTTGAGCGCAGGTGCTTGGGACCCTGGGGCGGGGAATAACGTGAAGATAGATTTTAGGTTAATGGGTTGTGAGTATGAGAGGTGAATGGAACTGGTCCAGGATCTTGCCCAGTGACAGGCTTTTGTATTAGTAGTGCCGAGCCCTCAGTTCTGCTATGAAAGAATTACACATCCACAAGAAATAGAAGCGGCAAACATTCTGACAGGCAGACGTATTCATGGAATTAAGGAGATTCTTCTGCATACACAATTTCTCATTGTTGGTATTGAATCGTTGACATGTTTACTCTTCTTCCAACCTACCGGTATTTGTGAAGCCTTGGAGGGGGTGTGTGATCGATACCTAAAGGTAAGGTAAAGTTGTCCCTGCGCTTAACTAATTAAGCACTACGCCATGATGGCGTATGGGGGAGTGGATGTATAGATCCACATTATCTTGATTTCGGCACTAGTTGGAGGTGAGTGGTCAGTTTCACGCCCCGGCCTCTTTACGTACTTGAAAGACCCCCCGATACCCATTGGATAGGAGGTTGGGTGAACACCGGAGCCGGTCTGGACGACATGGAGAAGTGATAATTCTTGACCCTACCGGGATTCGAACTCGACCTCTCGATCGTCCAGCCCGAGGTCATCGCTATACCGACTGCGCTATCCCGCCCCTGTGTTACCCATACATATATATTTAAAATGTCTGTTCGCCTTTCTTTTCAGAACGCACTTCTTTACTTAAGTAGGATGTGAAACTGACACAAACTAGAAAATATAAATTTGGATACCTAGAGAAATTGGTAATGCCAGGGATAACAGACATTTTCCATGTTGCGTACCAAAATGTATGAAAAGGGGAAGTCATATGCTCGCTTCTCGCCATCAGTCCACAAACTTGCCACTTTCCAGAGTGTTTTCCCAAGAAAAGTATGTGCGATTTTCTTATGGCATAATTCATACTTCATATCCAACCCATCATCTTAACTGAGCTAGCCTTGTACTCTCGTAATTCTACGTAACTTTTTTTTTTAATTATTTCATTTTTGGTCCGTTACACTATCAATCACAAAGTCAATGAAAAATCCGTCGAGTGTAACAATGTTTTTAGGTCACTTCTTTATCTCACTTGCCTTACATGTTTCGGTTTAAGAAAACCATCATCAGAGGCACATACTACAAACACATGAAAACACTGGCGTTGTTTAATGTACACAGTATATATGCTGCGTGGACGCTGCTACAAATGTCGAAGTGTAAAAGCACAACACTTTCTAGGAATATTGAATGCACGTTCAACTCCTGCATTCCATCTGAAAATTGCCCTCAAATTAAACCGTCAATGTTAAAATATTCAAAAGTTTAAAACATTTGAAGTAAAATGTTAGGCTCCTTCTTGTTAATACGTCCCGATGATGGGAGATGTCAACTTGAGGTTGTGTAGGCTTATGGTCAGATGTTTCCTACGCGTTG